TTGGGTTTGAATTGACTTGCAGCACAAAGCAGCAGCAGTTGCTCTCTTTTCACAGCTCTCACAGAAAGATTTCATGCTCTCAGCACGTGCCGTTCTAGCAAGTTATTATTGAGTTTGTAAACCAGTGTTGTGTGACTGGCAACCTGCCTGCTTATGCACACGTTGTTTTTCAAGAAAAGTAATATTCTATTTAGTAGAAGATACCTGGGTAATTATTTGAATTACTGTAGCTGACATTTATTATGAGGTTATTATGCAAATTTAGCTTAATGTCAGCACTTGGCAAAGTCTTCTTACAAATTCATCATATTCAGCACACTGAGTACATTAGAATTACAAAAATCTGCTCAGAACAAAGGGGCTTTTCAGGATAAAATGAAAATAATGAGGTACATGAAGGGAGTTTCCATGTGATTTAGCCATGATGTCTTTTTTCATAGAATTAGATGAGGTCTTTTGTGTTACGATTGGCCCTAGATATGACATTTGAGAATCAACCAAAATTATAGCATTATAATCATTTTATGGCATAGAATTCAAGGGTCAGTTCACCCAAAAATTACAATTCTGTCATCATTTACTCACCCTCATGTTTTTCCAAACCTGCATAACTTAGAAAAATAATGTAGGCTACTGGTTGCTCTTTTCCATACAATTACAATATATCACAAAAGTGGTCCACATGATTCATGCATCATATTACAAGTCTTCAGCAAGTTGAATTCCGTAAGCAGATCAGTCCGATTGATTCGTTCACGTATTGGAAAATGCCATTTCTCTCATGACCACACCAAAGAGAGCTAGGGTGGATGTCATGATTTTCATTGAAGAATGACCTAAATTTCTATATATGTCTCACACAAAGCTATCGTATAACTTTAGAAGACTTACAAAATGTTGCACAAAATTTGTGAATTTAAACATCGGAACATTGCATACAACATTCACAAATAAAAAAAACATCTTATGTGTTCAAGAAAACAAAATAGTTGCTTCCTGGGAAACTGACTCAAATTCTAAGTTATGCAACTGGGAGTTGGTGCAACCAGGAAAGCCAAAGTAGCTTATAGCTAACAATAACAAATGCTGTAATAGTCTTGCGTTTTGAGGCGGATGCCTGATGTGTGGGAACGTAATCGTGAGAGACAATTCTGGGAGGTAATTATACAAAATCATTTTGTTGACAATAGACTTGTGCCGGTATTCGGTAATGCGATATATCACGGTAATGAATATGCACGGTATTGTTATCGTGGGCACTTCTAAATACCGTGAATAATTATATATAACAAAGTAGTTGACAAACTTGGGCTCAGGCATTTCAGAATGGCTAAAATAACATTTGAGACGGTGTGCAATGAGATTGGTCAGCTGATTAGTTCAGTTATCCAGTCTCAGAGCTGTTGAGGCAAAGTCACAAGAGGTTTTTTGTTGCACATCCTCGAATTTATTCAGTAAATGTGTTTAGTTTACATTATATTTATGTGCATGTCTTCTTATCACATAATTATCCACCTCAGTTGAGCACAAAATGTGTTTAAGCACATTTTAAGGTTTTATGCACATCTTGGCCTTTCCATTCAGCTTTTTTTTATATGATATTCCAAAATGCTTATAAAAGTATATGGATGGTAACAGCTATGGTAATTGCATGGAAAAGAGTGACCAGCACATTCTTCCAAATTTCTCAGTTTGTGTTCTACGGAACCAAAAGGTTTGGAGCAACATGAGGGTGAATAAATAATGACAGAACTTTTATTTACAGGTGAGCTATCCCTTTAACATCTGTATAAAGCATGAAGACATAGCTAATGCTGTATACTGTATGGCTTCAGTAAACCACTATAGAGTAAACTGTAAATAAATGACTTCTTTTAAACACTTCAGCTATTTCCATTGATGTAACTTGAGTTATCCAACTGTATTGTCCATTAGAGTGCAAGTTTATTTTAATCAAGATTTGATTTGGCAGCACAATCATTACTGTACAGACTACAATAGAGAGTTTATGTTCTACATGGGATGTTTTCCTGATTATGAGTGCTGAAAGGTTTGCTGTAGTGTTGTAGAGCATTGATAGATTGATACACACGGCTCAGGCTTTAATATTTGTTCTGCAGCTAAGGCTGAGGCTTGATGTGGCGTGTTGGGTTCAGATAAGGCAAGGTGTGGTTTTCTGCATGAATGGAACATCCTGGTTGTAGTCTGGCTGTCCTTGACTGTAACAAAACTCTGTACACGTATGTTCTTTATGCGTGTATGCCAGGGATGTCTAGACTTTCTGCTGACTGTGCAGCTCGTTTCCGCTAAAGGCCAGGGGATTCACAGGAAGATGAGGGATGGAAGAGACACCAGGCCGGATGAGAGGAACAGCAGCTCTTGCTCTCTCCTGCATCCCTGTGGAGCATCAGGGACATCACTGTCACCAAGAACTGCCAGACAGGAAGCCATTACCAGATTTGGCAGACAGGTCGCTACATGCAAGGATTTACAGTGAGAGATGTACGCTGAGAGGCTACTTTATTAGGTACTGCTGCTGAAATGGGCAGGTCGATGGTGGATCCATTCCTTGAATGTGATCCAATTCAGTTAGTAGAGTTCACATTCAATCAACTTTGACTGCTGAGACAATGTCCTTTTCCACTATCATGTTCTCCAGGTGTTTCATATAGGATTGATATGATAAAAAAAATTGCTTTGTAATGTGCACAAGGTCAAACCCAAAACATTTCTCCAAATTGTTCAGCCTGCTCAAGAACACAAAACAGCCATTATATTTTGAATGCTTAAATAAAACCGACACATGAAAGTCTACATTAGTGGACTGCTAGCTTTATTGAACAATGTACATTATGTTCAAAAGTTTGGGGTCATTATGATTAATATTTTTCAATAAGGATGCAATAATTGATCAAAAGTGATAGTAAAGACATTTATAATGTTACAAAAGATTTCTGTGTCAAATAAATGCTGTTTGTTTGAACTTTATATTCATAAATATGTTTTCAATATTGATAATTCCAAGAAATGTTTTTAGAGCAGCAAATCAGCATCATCATAATATATTAGAATGATTTCTGAAGGATCATGTGACACTGAAGACTGGAGTAATGATGCTGAAAATTAATTTTTAAAATATATTAAAATAGAAAACAGTTATGTTAAATTGTAATATATCACAGAATTACTATTTTAACTGATTTTGATCAAATAAAAGCAGCCTTGGTGAGCATAAGAGACTTCTTTCAGAAACATTTCAGAAAAATCTTACCGACCCCAAAGAATTGTACATTATTTTATATATTTTTATAAAAATATTTTGAAAAAAGCCTCAGCATTTAATATAAATCAACAGAGTGGAGTGCACTATGGATATAGGAGGCTATGGGAAAAATCTTGCAGAGTCTCTGGAGGACAACAGAGTGCTTTTTAAAAGGACATTTAGAAAGGGAACACCACCCTCGTGTCACAAAATATTCTTTCTGATTGTACACTGATTTAGTTGCGTTCTTAAGTGAATGGATTTCTCTCCCATATACATTGTAATATGAATATTTTCACTGATGTATGTGTACAAGCGGGAATTCACAGTGGAATCCTCAGTTCGCATGGGACTCCCATGTCGAGAGCAGCTAACAAACAAACCAGTTCTTTCTTTGTGGAAACCCACACCCACTGTGAGGACGAACCACAACACAGTGATTGTTGAGGTGAACTGCTATTTCAAGGACAAAACAAAAAGAAATTACAAGTGGCAGAAGTTTATGTGTAGGACTTTCATTGCCAAAGCCATTGATTGTTCAGTCGTCAGTCGTTCAATGTTTACAGATGGTTTTGGGCAGAATTCACAACGAGCTGTAATACATTTGAATTGAATTTGAGGCGCTCCACAGAATGCTGAATTGGACAGAAAGAGGAAATTTACAGATTTCAACAATCACAGACTTTTAATAGAAATATTTAACTCATACTAAAAAGATAATTATATTATTAGCCTATATTATTTTATTTTATTTTAATATTTAAGCCTAAATTCACATCTGAATTGCAATCTTAATTCTTTTTGCCTCTTCAGTTCAAATTCATTTGAATTCAGGATTGACTCACAACCCTGGCTTTTGATTATAAACAAGCATTGGTATTTTCATTTGATATAAAAACTTCCATTAACTGAGATATATCCACTGTAATTCATATGATTCATTTCCTTTGTGTTTTCCAATCTCAAGTCAAGTAGACTTTGGTTTATTAACTTTCCAGTCATATATAAGTATGCAGTGGAAAGAAATATCATTTCAGCAGGTCTGCAGTGCATATCACCAATTACTCTGTCTGCTATCACAGGCATTTTGTTCCTCTGTGTCCTCTCTGCTGGAGGATTGGTGGGAGAAAGTTGAAAAAACATTCTGTGGTTTCCACATGCTGTTATCACTGGTTTGTGGCTGGATATTGACTGTGCCTCGAGGGATTTACAGTTTGTTTTTGCCATTTCCAGGTTCAAAAATATCTAATCTGTCTTTTCTCTTTCTGTCTCTTTTTTTTAATTTCATTTCAGGATGAGCTGGACCTCACAGAGAAGCACAGAGAGGCCATGTTTGCCTTACCAGCAGAAAAGAAATGGCAGATATACTGCAGCAAGAAGAAGGTTAGAGCTCTCCAACATTAGGACATTGTGTGTGTGTGTGTGTGTGTGTGTGTGTGTGGGTGGGAGTTTTACCCTCTCATCCTCGGTTAAAGGTTCAGTGCACCAGATTACACTGGCATCCTGTCAGAACGGTGTTTAAACATCTCATATATCAAAGTGCTTAACATAATCACCTCTCCGTCTGAAAGAAACAGGATTCTGAGTTCATGCCCCTCATCTCCACTTTCTCTGATTTAAAAATGGCTAATCTATTAAATGTTTCCATTAATCTTTTCATTGTAAATTAAGTGTCAGCAGAGGTTTTGGATAAGTGGACATGTTAGACTTCTTAAAGACAAAATGAAGAGACTTTCTCTGACATTATGTTGATGATTTCAAACCAAAGCGACCTACAGTAAAATAGTGCATGCTGCTCTTCAGGATACCCAGTTTGTTGATGCAGAGAGAGTTTGGTAGTATTTACATCAGCCTATTTTCTTAGGCATTACTTTCATCAACATCTGAGAACTAACTCTTTCTATAATGAGAAGGTACTTTCTGCTTGAGAAATGCTCTGCTTTACTTACTGTTTGTTAAAGAAGGCAAAGCTTAACAAAAGCATTGTTTTGTTTTGTTTTGTTTTTGTTTTGGGTTGTGTTTTTGTTGTTGTGTTTTTGTTTTGTTTCGTTTTGTTTTGTGTTTTTGTTTGGTTTGGTTTTAGTTGGGTTTGACTAGCCTGGTTTGGCCAGTTGAGCTACCACAATATACAATTTTTACTTCAGATAATTTTTTCTTGATTTACGTTTCTTTGTATCTCAAATGTTATTTCCAAAGTCTTATTTAAACAATTATTATATTATATGCTAAATGATCTTTAAAAAAAAAACAAAAACAAAGTTAGAATAAATAATCTGTAGTTTTTCTCATTTGCAATAACGGTCATTTCATTCTGCTGTATTAATACATAACTATGATCGACAAATACAAGACATGGTGACAAACTTCCAGAGGGGTCTCAAGATGACTTACAGTAAAATGATTATAATTAAGACAAAACATTTAAAACAACTAAAAAACAAGACATTTCTTATTTTAATTCCCAGTCTATTGAATAACCTGTATATATATGAGGTAACTTAATTTCAAAAGTGTGATTTCTAGACCTGGAAAAGTAATATAAATTAATAAAATCTTAGAAATTTAGAGTAAAACATTCTTTTAAAAGTCCTTATGCTTAATCCTTATCCAGTAATTCACAAATGACTAGAAACATCATGAGGATGGATATTATTGTGAATTATGGAGTCAAAAGGTTTGAGAGCCACTGCATTACTAGCCCTGGGTCATTGAGCCACTGTTGAGTTGTGCTAGATGACGAGTTCTTTAACTCTAAGCAAAGGTTTCAGTCTTGATTAGTTTGCGATAGGAACAGAGGAATTTACTGTCCATTTTGTATTTTGCCATACGCGAGGCCATCGCATGGGTCTGCTGTTACCACCGTGTGATTCTGTTCACACTAGTTTCCTCTAGCGTAATATTTTTTTAACAAGCAAATCCTGTTTTATGAAATCACACTTATTAATTTTTATTGGACACCACTGTATGTTTAGGTATGCAGGAAACATTGAGGCCAAGTCATACCATTTATCCTCCATGACCTAATGGAGCTCAGAGAGCAGAGAAGCACCAGTGTGAATCTGAGTTCATTAATGACATCAAACCCTCCATGATGCCACAAACAAAAGCCCTGCCAGACTGTTCTTCTGTTGTGAATCCATGTGTTTAACTCAAGACAGCATGAGCACTGAAACATGACGCACACACACAGACACAGACAGTGGGTGGTCGGTGGTTACCTGCCGGTGATGTGACATCAATACAGTCAGGGGGATAGAAAGCACAGTGAAGTGGCAAAATCCTGCAGGTCTATAAACTACAGGCACTTTGATTGCTCTTAGTTAAATGTTCATACAAATAACATTTGTTCTGTAAGTATGCGTGTGCATAGCATGAATGCAATCTGTATTCGCCATGCTGGCATTGTCACGTGACCTACAACGTCAGCCGCTGTTCTCTGAAATGTACAAATATGACACCTCCTCTGGGACAGTAAAATGTCGGTCAGAAGTGCACTTCAGAATCTCAGTGGAAGCAGCATGTCAACTAGGAATTTATGAATTCTACATATTTGGAGATATTAATCATTTGTTGTACGGCTTTTTGCACACTATAGTAGGAAAGTAGTTATATCTGGACATAGAGAGTATGTTGTATGGGAAAGTGTGTTTGTCATGGTGCTTTCAATAGGTATATACACAATTTGATATTCTGGACATGACCAAAAAGCTGATAATTATTTTATGTTATGATGATAGATATTATAAATCTGTACTTTAAAAAAGAGAAAATTAAAACACTGTATTATGAGATATACATAGTAACTCACTCTGACATGCTCTTAAAAAGAAAGTACAATTGATAGTGTCCTATACTTTCAAAGAAAATTTTTTTTTAAGCTGAACCCCTTTGATCTAAAATATTTAATTGATTTAATTGATTTTTTAAAGTTGACATTTTCAGTAATTTAACAGCAAATTTACATGTTCACGGTTCTCTGATGTTGGTTAAGGGTCACATGACATGCAGGTAAGTAAATAAAATATTTATTTTTTATTAAGTGTTTTATTTTGAGTTGTTTTTATTTTTGTAAAATATTTTTTTTAATTTTAATTTTACATTATAATTTTAATTATAATTTGCTTTACATCAACTTGTGAACATTGAGGAGTCCGGGATTTGTGAACCACAGTTTAAGCTTGCCATGATCTATCTCTATCTGTTTGATATTGCTAGATGATGAATTTAATTTTAAAAAAGGTGGAAACAAATAATTATCCGACACTGGCTTATTATTAATAACAATGTCTAATACTGATAAAAAAAACAAAAAAAACAGATATTGTCCGATAACTGATATGGAGCAGATATATTGTGCATCTCTTGTCTTTAACTGATATAGTTGCAGGGGGATGAACAAGAAATCTGTACTCTAGCTAACCTTCGATTATTCTCTAGATATGTGATATGGAGAGATTTTTCTTTTCAGCTTCAGCACAGTGAAGGTAACGGAATCTCCCCACGCTTAATATACCATAATATGATACATTAAAAGAAAGCGCCCCACTGGGATTTTACTTAGATGTTCTTATCTATGAGTTGCAGTAGTTCAGAAGCTGGTATTGGTTACAGGTCAGCCATCTGTCTGGCCATGACATCTTTTCTTGTATAGCCACATATGCTGTGTCCCAATTACGGACCTAATTACTCATTGTCATGGGACACTGAGCCGAAAGAGGGCATGACGTGAAGTAGGGCGCTCAAAATTGTCTTTTGACTTCTAGTTTTAGCGATGAGAAGGTTTTTTTTTGTTTGTTTTATAAATGTTTTGTAAATGACCTGCTTTCTGACCTGATCCTCGTATTTGGAAGCATATCAGAGCGTGCGGTTGGCCAGATTGGGTTGCCGTTTCTGTGTTTTGATAAGTGTCTTTCAGCCACATTTAATTTCGCTCTACTTGCATGAGGAGGTCATGCTCTACGATTCAACACATGGAACCAATGAAAAAGATTTAAGACGGTGAGCGGATGGATGAGATTAAGGAAGAATATGTCTGTCGTGAGACGGCCCGTGGCTGTGCAACAGCATTCATGCAGACTCAGCACAGTGCCCAGCCTGGGACTAGTAAAACGGGCTTGGCGCTCTTCCCCAGGGCTTCAGTCTGGGATAGGAGGGTGGAAGGATAAGGGAAGCAGTGGTTGGTCCAAAGCAAACAGGAAGGCCTCCATTTGCAGGTGGAGATTATGTTATCTGCAAGGCTCTTGATCGGTCTGTCAACCCTGGGAAACAACACTCAAAGCAGTCATCTCTTTTATTACACTCTCTTTCCACACATTTATAAGGTGCTGGACTGTCAATGCAATATGTTAATGTATGAATAATATCTTAAAAATACACTATCATTCAAACATTTGCAGTCAGTAAGAAATTTATACTTTTCATACTTGTATTCAGCAAGGATGCATTAAATTGATCAAAAGTGACAGTAAAGTCATTTATAATAGACACAACTTCTATTTCAAATAAATGTTGTTCTTTTGAACTTTATATTCATTAAAGAATCCAGAAAGAATGTGTTATGGTTTTGACTAATATTAAGCAAAAAACTGTTTTCAACATTGTTAATATTATATAAGAAATGTCAGAAATGTTTCTTGAGCTCCAAATCAGTATATTATAATGATTTCTGAAGGATCATGTGACACTGAAGACTGGAATAATGGCTGCTGAAAATTCAGCTTTGCATCACAGGAAAAAATTACATTTTATGTATATGTTAAAATAGAAAACATTGTAAGATTGTAATAATAATAATTGTCATAATTTTGAAAATTAAATGTACTATTCTTATGTTGAAAACTGCTTATGGTATGTGAAGGCCAGTCATATCAGAGATTATTTACATAGTCCTGTAACTGTATGTACTGTTATACTGTACATAAGAGTATTTAATAGTCTTTAATCTTTGATTCCCAAACTGTTCTGCTGACATTTCTTTCTATACAGTGTGCTGAGCACAGTGATTATTGACCTGTGCCCTGAACTCAATGCCTCAATGCGCTCAGGTGTGCAAGCTCTGCTGGCTCAAGACCAAAGCTTGAGGTACAGTATCAGCTGTCCTGCTCCTGGCAAAGGACGGTTAAGAATAGTCAGTCTGGATATTCATCTGACTCACTTCAATTGTCCCCACTGTGGAAAAATAAACATTGGTAATCAGAGCTCTCTGATAAATTGAAAAATAAATTGATGTCCACTGTAATCTTACATTCGTCTCTATCTGAATGCTTAAGCATTCAGCGTATTGGGAAGAAGAGATAGAGTCTTGGACTCTTTTTTTTCGAGGTCAGGGGCTATCAAGCTTTTCACCAGAGTTCCTTGGGCAGCGGGCCAACAAATACTTAGTCAAGCGGGTTCAATCGAGCAGAGTGAGTTTCTGACCCACTGCTGTCTGGCAGATGTGAAAGATTAGACCTGGAGTGCTGCAGACAACATTGACTGTTTCAGTCCAAGTTACGAATATAATCAATGCATAAATCTGAATATTGCAGAAAATAATTAGCAAATAAAGCAGCATTTAAATTTTTTAAAAGAATTGAATTGGTGTTATTTTTATCTTTGGCCGGTTACACTGCATTTTTCATTCCATTGACTTCCATTTATACGCTTACGAATGCGGGAGACAGGAGACGTAAGCTCATCTAAATTTTAGTGCATTGTAAAGTCATTTATAATAGACACAACTTCTATTTCAAATAAATGTTGTTCTTTTGAACTTTATATTCATTAAAGAATCCAGAAAGAATGTGTTATGGTTTTGACTAATATTAAGCAAAAAACTGTTTTCAACATTGTTAATATTATATAAGAAATGTCAGAAATGTTTCTTGAGCTCCAAATCAGTATATTATAATGATTTCTGAAGGATCATGTGACACTGAAGACTGGAATAATGGCTGCTGAAAATTCAGCTTTGCATCACAGGAAAAAATTACATTTTATGTATATGTTAAAATAGAAAACATTGTAAGATTGTAATAATAATAATTGTCATAATTTTGAAAATTAAATGTACTATTCTTATGTTGAAAACTGCTTATGGTATGTGAAGGCCAGTCATATCAGAGATTATTTACATAGTCCTGTAACTGTATGTACTGTTATACTGTACATAAGAGTATTTAATAGTCTTTAATCTTTGATTCCCAAACTGTTCTGCTGACATTTCTTTCTATACAGTGTGCTGAGCACAGTGATTATTGACCTGTGCCCTGAACTCAATGCCTCAATGCGCTCAGGTGTGCAAGCTCTGCTGGCTCAAGACCAAAGCTTGAGGTACAGTATCAGCTGTCCTGCTCCTGGCAAAGGACGGTTAAGAATAGTCAGTCTGGATATTCATCTGACTCACTTCAATTGTCCCCACTGTGGAAAAATAAACATTGGTAATCAGAGCTCTCTGATAAATTGAAAAATAAATTGATGTCCACTGTAATCTTACATTCGTCTCTATCTGAATGCTTAAGCATTCAGCGTATTGGGAAGAAGAGATAGAGTCTTGGACTCTTTTTTTTCGAGGTCAGGGGCTATCAAGCTTTTCACCAGAGTTCCTTGGGCAGCGGGCCAACAAATACTTAGTCAAGCGGGTTCAATCGAGCAGAGTGAGTTTCTGACCCACTGCTGTCTGGCAGATGTGAAAGATTAGACCTGGAGTGCTGCAGACAACATTGACTGTTTCAGTCCAAGTTACGAATATAATCAATGCATAAATCTGAATATTGCAGAAAATAATTAGCAAATAAAGCAGCATTTAAATTTTTTAAAAGAATTGAATTGGTGTTATTTTTATCTTTGGCCGGTTACACTGCATTTTTCATTCCATTGACTTCCATTTATACGCTTACGAATGCGGGAGACAGGAGACGTAAGCTCATCTAAATTTTAGTGCATTACAAAGTTCAGATCGGTATTCATATGACATGAAGATGTGTGTCTAATAGATAGAAGATCGGCGTGGCATATTAGCTGAATGCAAATTTTAAATCTGCAGGATTGGAGCATTGCGGTAAAGTAAAGTCAAATTATGTATTATATGTAGAATTATGTTTTTTAAAAAAGACATCAGTGAACAAGATGTCATATTGCAAGCATTGCAGTGTCCATAGAAATTCTGAGTACACAAATTCTAGTGTGACCATGAATGTTTAGTGTGATAAACATTTGAATTTGAATGAATGACTTTTAATCCTGTCATTAGGAGTTTTTAACGTCAAGGTTTTTAATATGCCGGTTTTTTTTACACATTATTCTTCTGAACGGACAAATCGTATACGAAAATCTCTTTTCAACAATCTTGTTGGTGTGAACAAATTTCAATCCAGCATTTTTTATGTGATATCCCAAAATTTGTGTTAAAATATGCTGGCTAGTCTCACTTGACTGCTATGCAACAATTGAGATTGTTCAGCAGTGCAGTTTAAAAATGAGCTTTAAACTGCTTGTTGATACTTTCGGTCAGTTTGGCATTTGCAGATCTTTGGGCTGATTCATCTTCCTGTTAACTGATTTCTTGAAATTGTGATAATCTGAACTGAACACACTGAAGCACGGCTGGTTCTTAGAAAGAGCATCTCTCCAAACCAACCTCAACCAACAAAATCACAGTCGTTATGACATGTCTGTCTGAAAATTAAGTGCTCATGGTATCAGGGCAGAGGAAAGTCCTTCCATAACATGAGAATGAGTCCTGCCAGAGATCCACATTAATGCTTTACTCATTAAGGCCAAATGGTGAGTGGGGAGTTAAGAAATATGCAGGACAGTGGAAGATCAGGGGTCTCCAGGCCAGCATCCAAAACTTCTCACTCGTCCGAACAGATGCCTATTTGTGAGATGCCATCATCTCCCAAAAGGCTTGGTAGAGCAGGGTGTGAAACGTCCCACACAGTAGCTGTAAAGGAGCTCATTGCTATGCCAGTTTTTTTCCTTTCCTGTGTGTTCGGTGAACATGAGCTATAATTAAACTCCCTATTAGTGGCCGCGCAGACAGCCTGTGCTTGTTTTGAGAAGAAAGTTGTCCCACTTCACAAGATCCACTCGCTTTTGATTCATTACTCCCTACATAGCTCCCTGCTTTCCTTCTTGCCTTCTGTGCTAATGCGGCATTGGCTGAATCTAGGATCCGTGTTGTTTCTCTAGTGTCTGTGAATCTCTGCTGGCCTACTTAAAGTGTGTGCTATTTCTGCCAGCGCTTTGAGCGTGATGTTCTGTTTCAGATCTGTTTTTTCTAAGTCTGTATGTTTGGGAAAGTGTGTACATGTTGGGGGAGGTGATGTTCACCTGGGAATATATGCAGTGTGAATCTTATTGCATGTTTGATTTGCTTCGGTTACATATAAGCAATGAATGTTACTCGAGTGAAATGAGACCTGAATTAAACCCCGGCTTCAAACTACAAAGAAACCAAAGAAATAATATGAAAAAAAAACAGATTAAAAAAATAGCAACAAAAATCTAAAGGCAAAAGGAGCGACGAATAAGTAAATAAATGCCTCTCAGATAAGCCAGTTCACACTTTTGTCAGCTCAATATTTGGTTTCACACAACTGGCCAGTATCAAAATAAGATCATTTTCAAGATAAAGATAATTTTTCATTGCTGCGGACTCGGGAACGTCTCATTCCCACCGAAGCGTCCAAATTATGTCATTCCCAATAACATTCCGAAACCACACTTTTCTGCAGCTCATTCCCAATATGTTGATTCACATTCCTCTATTCCCAGTGTCATGTTCCTGTTGTGTGGGCCCTGATCGGTGTGCAACACACATCTCGTATCCCAGCATCATGCAGAGGGCAGCGTGGATTAATGACGTGTGCTTGAAGTGAAAACAAGAGCCATGTTTGTTTGTTTTTTATATACTCATGCTGACATGCTGAAACTAATGTCTCGAAGATAGAATTTAAAGTGCCCCTATTATGCTATTTGAAATGTTCATAATTTGGTTTTGTGAGTCCCCAACAACAGGTTTACATGCATGCAAGGTCAAAAAACACTTTAATTTTCTTATAATATGCATTTAATTTTACTTTATTCCTCAACGAGTAATTAGAAGATTCATCTTTCCAAACCCCTCCTTTGCATAATGTTACTCTGCTCTGATTGGTCTGATGATCCAGTCTGTTGTGATTGGTCTACTGCGTACAGCACATGTTGGAAAAGGAACGCCCATCACCAGTACTGGAATACGACTTACCAATATTACATCCTATTATAATAATAATAGTGCTCCACTCTGTTCTAAAAAGAAAGAATCAGAAGGGAAAAAAGTTGTTTTACACTTATGTTAGCGAACCGGACCCACAGCTTGGTTGTAAAGACCCAAACATGACCCATCTTTCAAAGACAACCGGTTTACAAATCCTGCATTGAGCTCGCGGAGGTTGGAGACGCAGTCAGTGAAATGACGGGAACGCAGCAAAATGTTGTGGTTCTACAGCTGTGGTATCTTAGTTAAGATGAATTTTAATTTATTAAATGAATTTTAGTCTTCACAGCCTCGTCCTTTGGAAGTGAAAATAAACCAAATTTCCTTTTACAGCGCAGAGCACAGCATCTTCTTGACATTACGTTATCCACACGAACAAGCTACACATTTTTTTCTCAGGATGTCCACGCAGAACGTAGGCGGGCATTATGCAAATGTAAGAATTTGTGACTCGTGAAATTGGTGGAATGGGATTAGAATTTAAAATCAGCGGTTCAGA